AATGCGTATTGGTATTCAATCCGATTTGAGATCCTTTGAGAATGGTTTGGTTGGGTCAGTGATACACAATTCACATGATTCTTCAATCGATACTCATTGCTAGATTATTTCGTATATCGTCTAAGAGTTTATTTAATTGGCAATCTTTTTACTTATTTATAAATCATCCAACCCCCCCCCCCCTTTTTTATATATATTGTTTTAATGTCAATGAACTTGCACGCGGTTACGTCTTGGACTTACGGTTAATACCGAGTCCCTGAGGAAACGACCTTACTTATCGCTATTACAAGTTGTGTTTTAGAGGTAATAGGCTTATTTTTATAAATTTTATTATTTGCCGGACTCGACATCCGTCATTACACAATTTCAACTTGAACGTAAAGAACCTCACTCAGAAAATAAGAGTTCCAACCTTCTCTGATTTGAACATATTTGCAATCAGGTTGCCATCACACAATACGACTTGTCGCTATCATAAATCTCACAAAACGCTCCTTAACTTTGTCCATGTTTCATGGACGGACCCACAGTGGTCCCAACAGTGGCACGTGCCATCGTATTATTTCTCCGTCGAATGGTGAAAAATTTTAGACTCGTGAAAGGTGCAACCGTATTAATTTGTTGTGTGTTACTGTATGTATTTTGAAACTACAATGTGAACAAGTTTTTTTTTTTTGTAGAGTTGGTTTGCAAGACTTTTATTCCACCCTAGACCCGAGTTCAAATTATGTCAGTGTTATTTTCTTAGTCAAATGGTGTCACAGTTTGAAAATGTTTCCCTATATTTGTTTCTTATAGTCAAATGGTGCCAGAATTTGAATTTTTTTCCCTATATTTGTTTCTTACAGCCAAACAATGCTACCGTTTGAGAAAATTTATGGGTCCGTCCCTGCCATGTTTTTACTAATAGAAACTACTACCATCCTTCTTAAAATTAACCCATGAACAAAAAATTCGAGAATAAAACAACAAAGAACACAAGATCAAATGTAAGAAAATGGACTGAAAAGCGGATTCAGATACTTCTTAACGGAGACAAGTGGCACAATAGAAAGTTTCAATAATAAATTACAGCAGGTCGATCAAGGTTTGTTTATTTTTAAAATTGTCGATCAAAGGCTGGGTTTCGGTGATAAGGAGAGTTAAGGTGAGAAACGTAAAAAATGATCTCCACCCTCGAATGTACATTAGAACGAGATACACTGGATTAATCCCCGTATCAAACATGATTCATGGATGAGTTTGAAATTAAAAGTAATCAAGGGCCCAGATCACTTATTATGTGTCTCACCTGGACTCTCTACTCTCTAGTATGTCTTTTTCTTCGTATTTTAGCAAATATAATAATTAATTAATTTACAATTATAAATATAATTATTAATTGATTTTTGTTGTCAATTTAATACAAAAGGGTTGCTTTCTTTCTTTTTATATGTCTATTAAATTTGAAACAAAAATTGTCTATTAAATTAAGACTTTTGTTGACTAAAAAAATATTATTTCATTTATTAATAAATAAATTGGTATTCCCAACACCTTTCACATGTATTTGTTTAAGATTTATTGGAAAAATATAAATAGTAATAATATCTTTTGTTATCTGAAATCAAATCAGATCAATTTGTTTTTGTGAGACTGTAATATGAATTGAACTTTTACAACAAAAACTATAAACATACAAAAGGACACTAAAAAACAAGGGTGGTATCCGATTGGTTTTAAGTTTGGACTCCAAAGATCAAAAATGTCTGGAGGTATCAGGTTCGAATCCAAAAAGAAATAAAAAATCCCCTTGTGGCCACGGAGGTTCAAATGCGATGACATCTTTATAGGTGGTCGCGATAAAATTAGTCGGCTTGCATAGCGGGTTGGATATTTAGCTTAATAAAAAAACGATGAATGTTTGTTTTTGAATCTTCACAGTAATTTTTCATTGTTGTCTCAGAAGTCCCACGAAAATAGGTTGGTCTGATGATAACTTAATTTTATCTTTTATATATACAAATATATAATATATTTAATAGTTTTAAATAGATTTAAAAAAATGCAAAAATATGTATATATAAAGTTGTTTGGGTTTTTGTTAGATACTTATGACCAAGTTTGACTTGCCTTCACATCATACATTTGGATTTAAATATAATATTTATTTATTTTTCAAGTATTTAAAATACTAATAAATAAAAAATAAATGAAAAAGATTCTCAACTAAAACTATAATTTATTCACTATGTTAAAAAAAAAAACTAACTAATACAAGAAGTTGTTTGTTTACATTTTAATAGTTCTATTAAGATGTAACATTTGAATCGTTAAGAGGTAATCTTGTTTGGCAAAAAAATATATTTCTTAATGGTTCTAAAACCCCCTAAATGATTTTGTATCATGGATCTCCCTTAACCATTCAGAGCCCTAATTCCATTGTAAACAATTACCAAATAATTGTATTTCATTTTACACTATATCATGAGAGTCTCTTAATCATTCTGCACCAAACCATTCAGTCACTTTCTAAGAGTCACTAGATAATTTTTACCAGAATAAATATTACGTGTTTAAATTATAATTTTATTATTTTTATCATGATAAGTGTGTTATATGTAACGATAGAGATAAATATAAATTATTAGAATTATTTATGGAGTAAATCTTATTTCCATACTTAAACTTATTGTGATTTTTATTGATTCTTCTTATTTAAGGTGCATTAATGAGAATTGATAGTTATCATTTTCTCAAATTTATTATCTATTTTTTTTATTAACCTGAATATCCAACCCGTTATATGAGCCGACTAATCCCAGGACGACCATCTGCTTTGTAGATAGCTCGGAGTCACTCATTTGAACATCCGTGGCTACAAGAAGATTTTTATTCCTTCTTGGATTTGAAACTGGGACCTCCTGAAACTTTTAATATTTGAAATCAAACTCAAACCAATTAGGCACCACCTGGTTTTTATCTATTATTTTATTTAAAAGGCTTATGAAAATTAGAGTAAACTACAAATTTAGTCCTCATGCTTTGTTGAAAATAACACTTTTTGTTTCTATAGTTTTGAAGTTATAAGATGACCATCATAATTTAATCATAATTTACAAAAACGTCCAAATTTGGCCCCTCTTTTTGAATGACCGTTGTAATTTTCCATCAAAGGAACCGCATTTCCTCCTTTTATCGGACTTTTTGTCTTTTAATAATCAAAATCGATTTTATAACTACGGTATTTTATTTTTTTATTGGGTAAAATACAAAAAAACATCAATAAAAATACGAAAATGTCGCTCATGTAACAAAAAGTTTTAACAGCCGGTAGAAGGAGGGACCAAATCCAGACGCTTCTGTAAACCACGATGGCTATCTTGTAATTTCAAAACTGTATGGACAAAAGTGTTATTTCTGATAAACCATAGGGACCATATTTGTAGTTTAAATTTAAAAAATATTATTTTATTTAATTATGACAATAAGATTATTTTTTTTATAAATATATTAATTTTGAATTTCAAATCTATAATTAAAGAATCTTGTATTCTTCTCCCATGAATATGAATTCCCCTAATTTAAGATCTTGCTTTTTTAGTAATTATATAATAATTTAACAAGTGGGTTAATATTCTAATATAATTTAATTTGTTTTTTTTTTATAATATTTATTTAATTGTTTCGTAATTATGTACCTTCCCTCGTCATCATCGTTATCATTGTCATTAAATTACAAAATCGATGGAATATAAGATTATTGATACATCTGTTGTTTAAAAAAATACTGGTTTTCATCTGAACATTACAATTAATACAGAGATCGTTCTTAATATCTACACTATTAAGTCTCTTAACTATCAGTAAGAGCTCAACCAATATCTACACTTTTTGCTGTGAGGATTCAGTTTCTTTTTTACCTTCACAACATTTTGTTGTAAAGTTTCAAATGTAAAAATCATGTCTCACAAAAACAGTCTTATCTCACATGATCCCAAGTCGCTAATACATTCTCCTATCCTTGTCATTGTATTGACAATAATTTATAACAAGAAACCAAAGTTGTAATGAAGACAATGATTGTGACTAACAAGGGTAAATATGTCATTTCACTAAAGGTTTTATTTTTTCATGCCCCATTTCCAAAATTTTCCTCAAAATCAATGACAAAATAAATGTGGGGGCAAAATAGAAGCTAGTGGCTAAACAAATTATTTGATTCCAAATTATGTGACCCCCACAAGGCATGGGGGCATTAATCAAATGTCAACCCTTGTGTTAAATCATGAATACCTCCCATCATATGAACCTCACTCTCCACCTTTTCATGGATCCCAAATCCCAAACAAAACAAAAGTAAAAGCTGAAATAAACCAAACAAACTCAGTATATACCGTACAAAATTAAGGTTTGAGAGTTTAATGTACACAGATCCTGTCTTTATTGAAAAGGGTATAGAGTAAGATCCGAAATAGTTGTCTAATAAGGTTCGGAATATGGTTCAAATTTTGGACAGTAAAGGGTAAAATGGTCATTTATATCATTCGAACAGTTTATTCAGTACAATAGACAAACAACTACTTAACTTGGTGCATACAAGGTTTAGGGGTTGCATGCTTCTTTTTCTTCCCGTTAAACCCTGTATGAGTTAAGTTGTTTGTTTGGATAAATTTGTTTGTATTGAAGGACGGGAGACCAATGGGGTTGAGAGAGGTAAAGAGAGAGCGTTAGATTATTTATGGCAGTTCTGGTATTAATTTGTTTGAGGTGGCTTAATGGGAAAAAATGAGGGATTCTTGGCTTATTCCATATAGTTGTTTTGGCTTAATGGCTTGACGATTAAGCCATAAATAAACCGTCTAGATCATTAACCTCATTGAGTTATAAATACACATCCCTTGATGGAAAAACAACCGAACAACCCGTTAAATTGATGGAGAAATGAAGAGCCTTCACAAAAAGAAGTGTGAATGAATCATTTGATGGTTCATCATCAAGCAAAACGAAAAAGCCCAATTCGGGTGCTATCAACCATCATATTTCGCACCGAAAAAAGGCGAAAAATAAGTAAAAAGGATAAAAGTGATGAGTACATGTTGCCATACTTCAACAAAGTGAAACATGAAAAGGAAAGAAAGAATCATTCACAGAAATCTCTTCTAATGGAAACATGAATAAATAAAGAGCTTCATAATGAATACATTGAATTTTGAATGATCAACTTTGACTATTATTTGCATATCTCATGGGTAAACTAACATTCACAGATGAATTAACCATATGGTTATGATGAATACCTGAAGAAACTTGTGGTTTATGATGATGATGATCTTTCTTTGACCAAAGCCAAATCTTGGAAACAGAAAAGCTCTCACCTTTACTTCTGTTGCTAATTTTCTTTCCATCAATACCCCCATCAATTGAGCTATTCCCTTTATCTTTATCAAATCCTGTAACATCTTTATTACCAAAACTACCCCTATTGGGAACAAATGCAACCTTCAAATCTGAGTTTCCCACCACATACTCATAAGATCCCATTGAATAACATCTTCTTGCATCAAAATTGCTGTTACTTGTTTCTCCCACTTCTTTTTCTTCTCTTTTTCCCACATTTGTAGCTCTAAACTTCCCAAGCCTAACTAGATACACCCTTTTTTCATTTCCAATAATACCCTCCTCAGGTTTCTTGAAATGACCAAAAACCCCATGACCATGACCATCATCACCATCTCCTTCTTCTCCTTCTTCCCTTGAATCATCAAACTCAAAAACTGGATTTTCAACAGAAAACCCAGGTGTGAAAAGGGTACCTCTACATAAAGGACAGGTTGAATTTGAAAGCAACCAAGTATCTATACAATGCATATGGAAAGCATGGCTGCACAAAGGCAGCAATCTTAGATTGTCCTGATTTGTAAATTCACATAGGCAAACAGCACAATCAAAAGGCTCTTTTAAACCCATTAACTCTTTGTAAGAAAACACTGGCAGGGCATCAATGAAAGCTTGATCTAAACCAGAATCATGGAGATTGAAAAGTTGTTGTAATTGTCTCTCATATGCATCACCATCACCATCGACACCACCATCACCATTTTCTTGAAATCTTGAAGATTGAAAATGGGAATTTGAAGATGAAGATAATAACAGTCTTTTTCTTTTCATCAAATACCTCACAAGTATATGGAGTAAACCACATATGAAGAACATAATTGCTATCACAATTATAATGTTTCTAGCAAAAAGAAAAGTTGAGCTGGTTTTGGAATTGGAAAGAGGAGGAGGATGAACAGAAGGGGGTGGAGATGAAGGTGAAGGATTCTGTAATCTGTTTTGAGGTTGAATCAGGCGCATCTTGGCAGATATGAACAACTACAAGATGCATCAAATTTGAGATAGAGATGAAAGCTTCTGAAATCTGATTTGAGGTTGAATCAGGCGCATTTTAGCAGATATGAACAACTACAAGATGCATCAGATTTTAGATAAAGATGAATTGAGGTTGAATCAGGCACATTTCAGCAAATATGAACAACTACAAGATGCATCAATAGATACAAACTGTAAATATATGTTTTTTATTGGGTTATTTTAATCTTTGATCTAAACCCAGCTCACGAATTCAAGAAAACAGCGAACACAGTCATCAATTAGTTGAAATTGCAAGAAACCCACTTGATGAAAACTAAGCAAAATGCAATTAAAACCAGATCTTGAATCAAGAAAATCTTGGGCAACTTGATGAAATCAAGAACGAAAGGAATTAGGGTTTGGAAAAAGTCAAAGATTTTTAGGGTTACCCACCTCGGAATCTCAGATAAAAAACTAGGTTTTCAGCACAAACCTCTGCTAATTCGAAGGCGATAATGCTTCTTTTTGACAGTTTCTTGATGTGTGTTGGTTATGGTGGTGGTAACTGGTGAGTGACTAAAAGAAATCTCTCGGATGGGTGAATTTACAGATAGGGGTTTTTCGTGTGTTGACGGAGAGCTTTAATGGGTGCTTTATTGATGGTTAAGCCATGGGCAAATTTGTAATTTACTTCAAGAAAGACTACTAATTTAAAAGTGTGTTCTTTATAAATCCCCCACCCCACCATAAGGGCTTCTCTTGAATGCACATGGCCCAATAAGGTCATAGTTTATACTTTATACACATAATCTTTATATTATGAGTAAATTATTAATTTTGTTAATTTAATTTGTTTTTTTATTAACCTGGATATCCAACCCGTTATGCGAGCTGACTAATCTCAGGGCGACCATCTGCTTTGCATATAGTCTGGAGTCATTGCATTTGAACCTCCGTGACCACAGGGGAGTTTTTATTTTTCATTGGATTTGAACATGGAACCTCCTGGTACTTTTGATATTTGGAGCCAAGCTCAAACCAATCAGACACCACCCTTGTGGTTGTTACTTTAATTTGTTAAAATTTGTGATTTTCGTTTTATGGTTTAGAAATTAGGGTTCTCGTTTCTATCGTTTATAATTTATTGTCATTTTCATTCTTATAATTTGTGATTTATTGTTTTCAGTTCACATAATTTGCAATTCATTGTTATTTTCGTCCTTATAATTTATTGGTGTTTTGATCTTTGTGGTTTACAATTCTTTACTATTTTGTTTCCTTACACTTTAAGGTAAAAATTAACCCAAAGACTAAAATAACAATAAATTATAAACTGTAGGGATGAAAATTGCAATTTTCAAACCTCATGCTCGGAAATCAAAATTATCAACAAACCATAACGACTTGCTCTTATATTATAGAGTAACTTGTGTGTTTGGGTCTCTATGGTTTGTTGAGATCATTTGTTTTAAAAATTACGATTTTCATCCTTATATTTTACAATCTCTTATGTTTTTGTCCTCATGATTTGAAATTTATTGCTATTTTGTCCATGTAATTTTACAAGTCTTTACTGTTTTAGTCCCTCATATTTAAAGGCAAGAGTTAGGTTTAGGGATGAAAATGACAACGAATTGCAAACCATAGAGATGAAAACGGTAATTTCAAAACCACATAAATGAAAGTCGAAAACTCATAAGTCTTGTTTTTCAAAGATCTGAATAATGTATCTTCAGACTTGTAAAACTCCGAAGTCTTCTTTTTCAGAGATTTAAAGAATGTCTCTTCAGACTTGTAAAACTATGAAGTCTTATTTTCCAGATATCTGAAGAATGTCTTGATTTTTAACAGACCATGTAGCCATTTAGTGGTGTGTTTTTTTGGGAACCAAATAAGGTTGAATGGAAATCGAAACATTAAAAGTAAATAGCAAATGAAATCAAATAGATCTAAACTGATCTAATAATAGTTTAGTTTTCGTTTAGAATCAGTCTGATCTCAAAATTGTATTATAAAACCATATACATATTTAAGTTTGCTTTAATTTGAAAAATACAAAATATGATGCCATTTTTAGAAATTCCGGTTTTAGTCATGCTTTTGAATTGGATCGGGCACTTGATCGGACTTAGAACTGGCTTGTGGAAACATCATAAATCAATTCTTAAACCGATTACTGATCTAAACAAATTTAGAATCGAGAACCGAGCTGAACTGATTCCAACTTGGTTCTTTGGTTTGGACCGTCTAAACCGAATTCAAAACCGGAATTAAAGTAAATGTGTTTTTTTTTCATTTTTCAAGAATGGGCCTCATTGTCTTAATGGCCCAATGGGCTTCATAGTACATTTAATAGCCCAATGGGATGGGCTTATTGTATTTAGCCGTAAATTGGGCCTTAGTTTTTGGGCCGGCTGAATTTGCTAATCCGTTGCTTTTACTCCGTTAAAAAGTTAACGTAACCACCGTTATCTGCTGGTTTTCCGTCACGGAAATATTCTAGATAACACGTCGTCGTTTCGTCGAAGAAAATCGAAGGAGACAAGCAAGAACTTAGTAGACCCTAAAACCTTTGGTAAAAAGGCTTTCAAGAAGGAACAAAACGAATGCTATGTTCCCAACTCCTGTGGCGATTCTCATTCCCCTGCCGCCGTTCTCCGCTGTTTAGCACCGTTCTCCGCCGCTTATTCGCAACATCGCCACCACTACAGATGGGAAAGGCTTCAAACTCCGCTCCGAAGTCTTCTCTTGCAATTGCTAAAGACGATTCTTATCTTCAATCAGTCATCCCTAAACGAATCGAACTGTTTGAGTCCCTCAAAGCTCAACAGATTGCGCATCGCCAGTCAATTTCCGGTGATCCCATCAAGTAATTTTTCGTATTCGATGTCGTATGACTGTTCTCGCTCTTAATCATTTTATCGAACAGCTGGTTTGCGTTAGTTTACGTAACTTGAGTGAATGTTTGTTAATGGTGTTTTTTTTCCTCTTTTACTTGTTAGGGTTACGTTACCTGATGGGACTGTGAAAGAGGGGAAGAAATGGGAAACGACTCCTTTTGATATTGCCAAGGAGTTGTCGAAGAGCTTAGCGTCAAATGCTTTGATTTCTCAGGTGGATGGAGTGCTTTGGGATATGTCAAGGCCCTTGGAAGGTGATTGCCAACTAAAAATATTCACTTTCGACAGTGATGAGGGTCGTGACACGTTTTGGCACTCGAGTGCTCATATTCTTGGGCAGGTAGTGATGTAAAGATGAATCTGTTTTTGCTGGGAATGTGTTTAGGGTATGGAGTGGATGGTGAAATTAATCGTTTTTTTTTTGTTTTGAACTCATTGCAGGCTCTAGAAATGACTTATGGATGCAAATTGTGTATTGGGCCATGCACTACAAGAGGAGAGGTATCGTTTCAGTTCTTGTTCAACTTATCAAGTTTCAATAATTTTGATGTCAGCCACATAACAATCTCTTGGATTCTTTATTTCACTTTAAGGAGCTTCTTTGTTTGGTGATATGCACTCAGATTCAATTAGGGTTGTAATAGGATTAGATATTATATTCTCAAGATGGGTTTTTAACTACTATTTGGTATCCCTTTTTTTTCAATGAGGTTCTTTTATGTACAAACTCGCCGGAGGAGGTTAGGGCGCGTTTGATTAGCAGGATTCCAACGGAACTTGAAGGAATTGGAATGATCAATTCCGTTGACCAAATTCCATTCAGGCGTTTGGTTTACCTATGGAATGGAATTGAATTCCACACATTCCTCCGTTCATGGATCTGGTCATTCCATCACAATGGAGAAGGAATTCAATTCCATTACATTCCATTTTCTTAAAAAGACAAACCATCCCCATCTTCCCTACTTGATTAGACCCATATGACCTCCATCTGAACCACCGCCGCGATCTGAACCACGGCCGACCACCACCGATATGAACCTCCATTCACCACAGCCGACCACCATCGTTATAAAAGGGGTATTTTGGTCCTTTATTGTTTATTCATTCCAATCTTGAAGCTACATTCTACCAACCAAACAGGCAGATTTTAACAGATTCCATTCCAATTCATTCCAACCAAACGCCCGATCAAATTCCACATCAAGTTCCTTCAAAGTCAAATTCATTTGACAAATTCCATTCCTTCATAAACATTCTGCCAACCAAATGCCCCCAGGTGATTACTATTAACAATGAGATATACTGAGCTAGTTTGGTTTTGTTGACAGAAGATTGTCGATTGGCCATTTAGAACAACTTGAGCTTGTCATTTATACCTTATGACTTTTATGTGTATGGATTGTATTACTAAACGGATGTGAACACCTTGTGAATCCCTTAACAATCTCTTGTCAATGGATGCATTATATGCCGTGATCAAATTTGTTTAGAGCATGATTACAGACATTTAACTTTGTAGTCATACACAGAGAGATGTAGCGTCATTTATCCATCAATATCACTCTAATTTAACTGTAGTTCCAGCTGCAATCTGATTACGGTAGCTTTACAGCTTTGTGGAGTTCTTGATTGGTAATAGCAGTATTGACAGTTTTCATGTACTAACAACAGGCCTTATGGAGTTGCTCATGGAATTGTTATTGTAACAGGGTTTCTACTATGATGGTTTCTATGGTGAACTGGGCTTAAATGAGGATCACTTTGATTCAATTGTTTCTGGAGCAAAGAAAGCTGTTGCGGTACTTTGCATCTCATTCTTATAGAAGTTGATGAGTTAGCTTATTTTTGTTTTATTCTATTAGAGACGTTTCTTGTTGTTTCATTTATTATTGACAAACTAAATCATTACATTCTGCATTTTTAATCTCTAAAATACAAGACGTTTTTTATTTTTCATCAATTGACATGGAAATGCTTCAACGAGGAGCATCATTTACAAGCGTTTATGAAAAACCACAACTGGAACAAAATTGATTTGTTGCAAGATGGGCGTCCCAGAATTTTGCGTTTATTATATAAATTACAAGGGAAATTAATGTCTCTTATTATGCTTTCATGCCTTTTTCAGGAAAAGCAACCTTTTGAGAGAATTGAAGTTTCACGAAAGCAGGCTCTTGAGATGTTTTCTGATAACAAGTTTAAGGTGAAATTTTGTATTCAAATTTATTCCGTATATTCCGTGGATTGATTTTTGCCACATCTTAATGTTTTATCTCATTGTCCTATCAGGTTGAAATCATTAGTGACCTACCTGAAGACAAGACTATCACAGTTTACAGGTGTGGTCCATTAGTTGATCTGTGCCGTGGACCGCATATACCAAATACTGCTTTTGTCAAAGCAATTGCTTGCTTAAAGGTGAGTCTGTTATGATATAATAATAGGAGTGCCTTGTATATTTGCATATTCATTAATCATATTGTATTTTTAATAAATTTAGGCTTCAGCAGCTTACTGGAGGGGAAACAAAGACCGCGAGAGCTTACAAAGAGTGTATGGGATATCTTATCCTGACCAAAAACGTCTAAAGGTTATTTTTTGTCTCGTTCAGTTTTTTCCCTTAACTTGAATGTTCTGTTACATTTTGACATCTATTTGTCTTTTTAATATTTTTGTTTTCGGGTGATTTCTTTCTGGGGACTTTTCACTTGATCACATACTTTTTGTATTTTTGGGGTATGATAGATCTCATGCAAGATGTTGAGCCTCAAAAGTGAAGATAATTTTTATACCTTAAAGTTGGTACATTTTTTAAGGTTGGATTTGGTCTTCCAAGAACTAGAAATGAAATTTAACTCCTTTGTGCAAGGCGTCTAGTATAACTATAAGAATTCGTGAGCATACTATCGTGTCTTGTTCATTTAAATATGCACATTATCGAGAAAATCTGCCCATAATTGATCATGTGCTTGGATTTTAGTAATGGTGGCTTGATTGTAATATTTCTTGTTTTTCTGAGGCCGTTTCTCTGCCTTGCTTCTCTTTTTCTGTGGTATATCATAAAGGGCTCTCCTTATTCCATTTTGATAACTGTTCATGTTTTTTTGCTGTATTGTACGATCGTCATCGAACTATTTTATGTTGTCTTAAAGCTCATTTATTTTATTTCTTTCTGGAGAGGTTTAAAAAGTAGAAAAAATTGAGGTAGGGGGAATTGGGTGGTCCTTGATCTTTGATATATTGAATATTTATAAATGAGCGTATCAATATAAAATTATTTCAATGAAAGAAATTATATTATGAGAAAGTTTTACAAACACTGAGTAATATCCCTCCAGGAATATATTGCTCTGCTGGAAGAAGCCAAAAAATATGACCACAGAGAGCTGGGCAAAAAGCAGGAACTTTTCTTTTTCCATCCTCTTAGGTAAGTGCATTTCAGGAAATTTCTTTATATCTCTTGTTTGTCTACTGTATTTAATTATTTTTCTTTCTATATGTTTCAGCCCGGGAAGTTGTTTCTTTCTTCCTCATGGTACTCGAATAACTGATAAGTTGATGTCCTTTATACGAACAGAGTATCGCAAAAGAGGTTACCTGGAGGTGATCTATATCTTCTGTATGTTTAATGGGTGATTAATATTTTCTTTACATATGAATGTTAACATTGTTTTGGCAGGTTACCACACCAAATATGTTCAACATGCAACTGTGGGAAACTTCAGGTCATGCTGCGAACTACAAGGAGAACATGTTTGTATTTGACGTAAGTCTCCTGCTGTTAGTGATTTTACCATTGTTCATTCTTGTTCTATATATAAAAAATAATGACATTGGTAAGCAAAATGGGCAAAATACTTCATTTAATGCAATTCTTTACATTCTTGGTTTTGCTATATTTAGTGGTGCAGGCGAAAGAGATTTTAAATTAGAAAATTTTGAATAGGAACGCCTTATGTTGTAGGTGGTTTTTTAGCTGGTGCTCTTTGACAGTTGCTATCAGTATGTCTGTTCCTTTGATGGAGTGCGTTTGGCACACGGGCTCAATGTTCCACCTTTGTCATGACTCTTATACGGTTTCTTTATTTTGATTAATTTATGTAATATATTAAGTATTAGCAATAAAAGATTAGTATAGAAAAGGTATTAAATAAAAATTAGAAACTGCATAAACTTTTTATTTTGGTGTCGTTTTAGTTGTTTGACGAAACTTTCTAATGATATATTTTGTTGTAATTTTTTTAATTATAATCTAATAAATTACATGAATTAATCAAAATGTATAAATATATAAACAACTCATAGGAGTAAATTGGTCATTTTATCTGTTCTGTCCTCTCCAGTTCCGTGTTACCAAACACTGAACAATTGTCCTGTGCTGTCTGGATACCATACTCATCCTTGATGAGAACTCAATCAAGATGCGAGCTGAAAGTATATTGATGTGCAGACGTTAGACTTAATATATCAAAATATGCAGAGACTGTTTTACCACGAGGATTTTGAGATGAGCATTTTTGCAGCATGAAAATAGTGTTGTAATTTTCGTGCAAGAATTGACGCATAATAAATGATTAATTTATGTTCTTCTTTGGTCTATCTAAGCAAATATGATTGGTTCGGATGATTATGTTGAATGCTATTGCGGAAACATAAAAGATGATTGGGCTGCTGCCACTTTTCTTAATACTCTCCTTTTGACCAGAATTACAACATTTCATTATGCCCCAGTTAGAACTTTCTTAGAAAAGTTTAAATGTTAAGTGACCTATTTTGGTCACGATTGTCATTGTGGAAAATATTTCCAACTCGTATTGGTCCACAAGATTTACTTTGATTTGAATCTAGGAGTTAGAACGCAAGGCTACTTACCTATACTGGACTGCCTCTATATTGCTTTATTGGTAATAGTTTAACATATGGATGTCGTAGTTTAGTTAAATCGGCTGTTTTTGGTTTTTTTGATTGGAATTTCAAGTTAAAGTGAGCGAAATGAATGTTTTGGAGCTGATAGTTAACTGGGTGTGACATTAAGTTGGTTATCTTTTAAACAGGAGGTAATCAAATTCAACTCAGAAGTTGTGAGTTGAGCTCACCGAGTTTGATTTTGGGCATCCCTTGAGTCACCTTGAAGCAGCAAATGGCTCAATCATCTACTAGCAGAATAACAATAAGCGATAGATGTTTTGATGGATTAACTAACATGAAACTAGGTATACAAATGAAATCAAGAAAAAATTGTATTCATCTACATATTCAGTCCATTTGTGATGCTATGGTGCAGAAATTTAGGTGAAAAGATGAAGTTTATGACCCAACTCTAACACAAATGAATTATGTTTATATATCAATCTTGAACTAAATTGGCCAATATTAAGACTTTGTTTAGCATGTTTATATGAACTTGTTTGATTGATACGGTAATTATTCATTTGTTTGTTTCTTGTGACCAAGCTATATGGGTTCTGTTTCTCAATTTAATTTGTTTTATATTATTCCAATATTTTCATCTTTGTATGACAATGGTTAGTTCAAATAATTGTAGACATTTGTATGTATTATTTGTTTCACTTTTGTTTGTAAGTTTTTTTTCCAATGGAGTTTCAAGTTGTTACATGGCTTTTAATGCAGATAGAAAAGCAAGAGTTCGGGCTTAAGCCAATGAATTGTCCAGGACATTGCTTGATATTTGATAACAGAGTTCGTTCTTACAGGGGTCAGTCTACTTATATATATAGCTTTGTTGTTTTGAGGTTATGTTTCTATTGGTTTTTGACATTTTTGTTCAAAGCGATTCCACCTTTTCTCTTGATGTACTTTTATGTGTAAAATTTTGTGGTTTCACATTTGTGGTTCAACTAACAACTTGCGGTATAACCTTAAAAGCTATTGAGACTTGCATCATTTCCGGTGTACAGAACTTCCACTTCGCCTAGCTGACTTTGGAGTTTTGCATCGCAATGAAGCCAGTGGTGCACTGACCGGTTTGACTCGTGTTCGAAGATTTCAGCAGGTATGCAGTCTTTGTGGATTTTTGAATACCTTTTGCTGGATTGAATTGTACCATGCATTAAATTTGATAAAAAACAGCTATTTTGGATCCTGGCACCATTCATATTAGATACATTGATCTCTCCGATTTCATGCTCTTAGCAATATAATGCCCAAAATTTTCCTCAACTTTATGATTCATACCTTACATGGTCTTGTAGGGGTTTGAAATAATGTTGTAATTTTAAAACCGCAGCGGAAAATAATATTTGGTTACTTATTTAGAAAGCTTTTCTAAAAGAAACCATAAGCCAGATCCAATGACAATGACATTTAAAACAAAATCTAAACAATCTATAAGGTGTTAGAAGGTTATCTTTTAGATCTGGTATTGGTTCTGATGGAGCATTTAGAAATCAATGTTGATTTTCTCTACGCGAACACGATGTTGGCTTCTACCGGGTGCTAGCCCAAAACCTTTAAAATCTAATATGTGTTTTTAACATAAAAAATAAATAAATTTTATAGATAGACCATAACTCAAATAAGGGTTTAAATTATCCGTAAATATATTTATTTAAACGTAAACATCTATATTTACATATAAAACCCTGTAATTATCATAGTTACATTTTCAAGACATTTTAATAATTATTCTTCAAGAATAATCAATTTAATTATCAACATGATCTATTTCGGGTTTCTGATAATAGAACCATACATATTCTTTATGTGCGATCCTATAGGTTTACATACTCATTGGCAGTGCTTCTGTGTGACATGTGTTGTGGGCATTTTAGAACTTACGTGGTTAATTAATTTTTTGTATATTACATACACTGTTATTCTTTCAGTCTGACCGTATTGTGTTTTCTTAGGATGATGCTCATATTTTCTGCCGAGAATCCCAGGTGAGATGCAATTTACTCGGCTAATACTGTCCAATTCCGTTTTTGATGTTTCTTTGACACGCTCTTTAATCTATACAGATAAAAGATGAAGTCAAGAGTGTTCTAGAATTCATCAATTATGCGTACGATATATTTGGTTTCACCTTTGAACTGAAGCTATCAACAGTACGTACATCTGGTCCCATCTTAATGTTTAAAAAGCTTATCATATAGTTGGCAGTTGCATCTTTGTAGTGCTTTGGATTATCTTTTCAATAACCAATTTGGCGTGCATCCGTCTTTACGGAAATACCATCGTTCTTAAGTCTGGTGTCCTAAAGTGTGGGCTTTATTTATGCCGGTTTTATATTGACATGACAAAGAAGAAACAAACACACAAAAACTAAACTGTGTTTTTTCAGACCAAGGTGGTTGTTTTAAGACATCCACCTTATATGTGATGGAAACGGGACAGGTATTGGGCGGGTAGGGCATCAACCACCCCTGCCCCTGCCTTCGTTTAATCCCCCGCACCTGCCCCTTAATCTCCAACGGGTTCGGGGAACCTGTTGGGTATCCATTTAGTAAAAAAAATGTATTTTAAAATTAAAAATTATTATGGATCGTCATTATATTAATTACCAATATTGAAAATCAAATATATTTTTCATTTAGTAATAAATGTCTACATATATACATACATATTTGTTTGTGCACACACTATATACATATATTAAATAAAATAGAAAATTTAATCGGGGTCGGATTAGGAGAGGGTAATGCCATCCCCGTACCCTGCTTTAGGTATGAAAATAAATCCTCGTCCCCACCCCGTTACCCGTCAAACCGGGGAATCCTCGCCCCACATAGGATACCCTCCCAAACGGGTAAATTTCCGTCTCTAACCATGATGCATATGTTTGCTATTTCATGCTGTGAAATCCATTTTGATCTACCTTCTCCTTACCTCTATATGGTCTATATCAAATTGTGTTCGAAATCTAAAGTATATAATTGCATTATTATGTCTTATAGAGGCCAGAGAAATATCTTGGAGATCTGGAAACATGGAATAAAGCTGAAGGTGCACTTGCAGATGCATTGAATGAATTCGGGAAGCCATGGCAGGTTAAAGTCAAATTTTTTCATTTTGAGAATTGTGTATTCTACGGGCCAAATATATATATATATATATATATATATTTTGCTTCGTGGTTGATGTTTTGACCCTAATAACATATAGATGCATAATAAGAATACATGATGTCTTCTTAGATCTTGTAGGGTTTGTTTGTTGGCAGCTTAATGAGCTTAATGGGACTCCCAACTTATTTGGTCAGCTATACATGACTGTTTGGTAGTGGTTTAATAATATTGAAAGTGGCTTATTCAGTATGCTTCCAGGGGGAGCTTTATGCAGAATTTTCCATCTGTCCCTCCCAATTAAAAAAACATGCTCATTCCATCTATGACAAAATCTCCCCAAACAAAAACCTTTCCAATCTATACAGACTGAATAATGCACACAGACATCTTTATTTATACAAGACTTAATGGAAAACCAACCAAACATCCCTTACTGAACTTTAATTATGGTCAACTTGTCTTCATAGATCAACTTGACTGTTAATTATGTTGCAACTGACTTCTACAACTTGTCTTTGTAGATCAACGAAGCTGATGGCGCATTTTATGGGCCAAAAATTGATATATCTGTTTCTGATGCGATGAAAAGAAAATTTCAGCTTGCAACTTTACAGGTTATTGTTAACACTAATCATTATATTCTATCTGGAATATAGGGTCAGGTTCAGGGGAAAACCGTAGAAAACTGAAAAACCGAGGAACACACTAGTAACTTTTTTTATCTGTAGAGTGTGCACATGTGCATACAAGTAATTTGTGCACACGCGCATAGAAACAAGAAACAACTTCAATTACTTGTATGCATACCGTACAGATGAACGGTAATTAGGGTGTTCCTCAATTTTTCATTTTTTGGGGGTTTTCCCTGAACCTCATTCTCTCTCTCTCTCTCTATATATATATATATATATACATATATATATATATATATATTTCTATATATTCTTCCATGAGCTTATTCATTGAACTAATGGATATTTCTTGTATACAGTTGGACTTCCAACTTCCTCAACGGTTCAATTTATCGTATTCAGCAGAAGATGAGTGTAAACGGGAAAGACCTGTTATGATACACAGAGCTATCCTAGGGTCGGTTGAGCGTATGTTTGCTATACTTTTGGAGCATTATAAGGGAAAATGGCCATTTTGGCTTAGTCCCCGTCAAGCAATTGTTTGCCCTGTGTCTGACAAATCCCAAGTCTATGGACAACAGGTATTTTCGTGTTCTTGCTTTTATTTTAAGTAGGAAATTATTACGAACTTTTAGAGATCAACAGTAGAGTTGCAAACAAGTAGTAGGTTATTTGAGCTCGGCTCGATTTTTCTTTATCAGGCTCGAGCTCGAATAACTTTCTCAATGTAGGGCTTGAGCTCGAGCTCGATGCTCGTTTATGGGCTCGTACTCATGATCGATAAAGTCGGTTATTGGCTCTAGGTTGCCAATTTTTATATTTTTATTGTGTTATTTATGGACATATGAGTATGTTGGGCTCGAAAAAGTATATGCTCGAATGGCTCGACTCGACTCAAAATTTAATTGAGCTTTCGAACGAGCCGAGTCGAACATTGGTTTTCTGAAGATCGACTCGTTAAGTTAAAGGAGTTCTATTTCGTGTTTGAGATCGACTCGTGCTCGAGAATTTAATATTAACAATAAAAATATGATATATAAAATGTATAAAAATTATATTTTGAGGATAGTAAAGTGAAAGTCTAAACATGATCAAATACGATAAATTAAATTTAAAGAATGGATAAAATGTAAAGAGGGAGATGTATTTGATATTTTAGAAGAGAGATTTTCTATTTTGTGGATTTATTGGTAAAACATAGGCTTGTTTCACCTTGTTCCATTTGGTGGGGTGGAACACGTCTGTTCCACTTCATTCCACTATGTTGCTGACTTGCTGTGTGTTCCACATGAAAGTCATGCCAAACATGGAATGGTGATCCCTGTTCTGTCATGTTCAGCGTACCAAACGCATCCTAACCGTTTCCCTTTGCTTTCTGTTGGTTACATGATCATTGCTTTTTATTCGTTTTGTTGTACTTCTTGGCAGGTAAAGGACCAGATCGATGAAGCTGGTTATTATGTTGATATTGATACATCCGATAGAACAATCCAGAAAAAGGTATGTTGGAAATTCTAGAAGGTTCTTATGTTGGTATCGATACTTCTAATCTACTAAACTTTGCTCATTACGTTACTGGCTATATGCTTTCGATATTTAAATTTTGCTCCCTATAATACTGGCTTTTATGCGTTTTTGAGGATTTCATTTCGTGCTTTTTTAGGTTCGGGAAGCTCAATTGGCTCAGTACAACTACATATTGGTTGTCGGTGAAGAGGAAGCCAACACCGGAAAGGTACACATCTTTGCTCACATATTAAACATCGTTATGCCATCTTGTTTGTAGAGATTTTAATCTTTTTTTTCTGGGAAGGGTGTCTCGGGCTATGTCTAGACTAATTCCGGAAAATTGCTACTGTAAGAGATTAGCCCTGATAAACTCATTGATCGCAATTGTTGTGGACGCTTGGAATTGAACCCAAGGCAGATGGGATGTTCCACCAAACCTCAATTGTTGTGGTTGAAATTTGAATCTGTTTGTTAGTAGCTTAATGAGCTTAATGAGATTCATAGCTTATTCAATCAGCTATACACGACTGTTTGGCACTGGCTTAATGATATGGAAAGTGGCTTATTTAGTAAGCTTTTAGGGGGAAGCTTTATGCAGGGAGGCAGACTTTTTCCAAACTTGACTCTTCCAATAAAAAATATGTTTCTTTCATCTATGAAAAACCCTCTCAAACAACAATCTTCTCAATCTCTACAGACAGTTTAATCGACACAGACAACCTTATCCATACACGATTTAATGAAAAACCAACTAAACAAAACTCTTAGTCAACTATCTAAAATACCCTCTCAATAGTGCAAGGTACAAGAATCTTGTGGACCAAAATCAAATGTTCTTTTTTATCACCAATGGGCAATGAGGTAATTTGGTCCGAGTATGCCCTTTTTGCCCAAAAAAGGAAATGTTGCATTTATTTTGGGACAGAGGGATCGTAGAACTATATGCTTTGACCATTTAGTATTTTCATTTCTTGTATCCTATTCAAATAATACGATTCCGGGATTCTATTTAGAATGATACAAATGAATGTAACTTGATACGTATTTTCAGGTAAGTGTCCGTGTGAGAGACAAGCAAGAACATTCGGTGAAAACCATTCCGGACCTTCTAAAACATTTCAAGGAAGAAGTTGAAGCTTTTCATTAGCAATGCCCTCAATCTTCATATCCATTAAATTAGAAGCTTGAATTCTAGTTTTTCAAGAACAAAATGTATGACACAATCTTAATCTTGTATTGCATTTGAAACCGCTACGATTGTTACAAATTTTGTATCGAAGTTTGATTGCTTCAATGATCTTTTTCAGGAATTTCATAAATTTTGTTTGGGATGAGTTTGTTTTCATAGACCTGTGAAACCAAAAAATTACACTGAATTATCATAGCAAAAGCAAGTTACCGTGAAAGTACGAAAATAAACCTTCACTGTAAGAACATTGTGAAGGTTTGTTGTTGTACTTTCACATTGTTTTTACTGTAAAGGTTTGATGTGTCTGGTCTAACAAAAACCCAACCATGGTTATATTCGGTCAAGCTTGTAGCCTTCATATTACTTGAAATTGTGCGTTGGACGGTTTCATTTTTCTCGTGCCAGATTAAATCTTCACATAATATAGGGAATCGTTGCAGGTCTCGTTAGAGCATCTCTAAACGGAAATTTTGAAGATTTTTACTGTAACAGATTCCATAGAACTGTCTCCAAAACGGAGAAAGTAGGATAGAGAGTGAAATTCCCCAAGTTTGGTGAAGTCTTCAAAGATGATTACACAAATTTTATATGAAGATTTTGAGTTTTGATCATTCATTTTGAATAATCCGTTGGAGATGTTCTTACAAACTTTTACATGATATAAAATACACCTTCTGTTTTTCAAATGAAAACCAGAAAAGAAAGGGTTTCTTTTTATCTGAACCCAACCCACCAGTAATGATTCATTACCAAATACTGGTAATGAATCATTTCATTGTATCAAATCAAAAAAGCAAAACAATAAAGAAAAGGACACACTAATATGTAATTAGAACTAATACATACATAATTAATCTCTAATTATTAAGTTAATTAAATACACCCTAATTAATACCTATTATTGGTCATACAGCTGCTTACATTTACATCATGATGTTGAAAATGCTGCTGGTGATGGCCATAAGACATAGAACTGCTACACTCTCCCACATCTTTTATCTCCTCCACCACCTCCTTCTCCGGCGACACCGCCACGAAATGTGGAGGCACCGCCTCGCCAAATAGTGGAGCTGGCGGTGGTGGGGGTGAAACCGGCACGACAGATGGGAGTTTCGAGAGGAGGGCTTCAAGGCTGCTCATTGAAGGAGTTATGTTCAATGGTTGATTGTAAGCCACTGGCGAACCGCTGCTGCCGCCAGCGCCGCCGTGGAATGGCGGCCAAAGTTCGGGTGTGTTGTAGGCTTCTGGTTTGAAAGGGTAGAGTGAGGATGATGGGTGTGGGAGTAGTACTCCTGGGATACTCTCTATGTAGCTCAGCTTCTTTCTTAGCATCACCACAAAGCTCAAATCTTCAATCACCTTTTCATCCCATTTGCAATCAAGTATTTAGTGACTATAACTAAAAAGATGCATAATGTTTAGTGTGTGTGTATGTATATATATATATATATACATATAGAGTTGGGTTCACGTGAGACTAGACTGTTTTCGTGAGACCACATTTTTACACTTGAAACTTCACAGCAAAACTGTGAAGATTTAAAAAAAAACATTGTGAAGGTTACCTTCACAGCATTTTGCTGTGAAGTTTCAAGTGTAAAAAGCTGGTCTCACGAAAACAGGCTGGTCTCACGTGATCCCAAGTCTATATAGATTTGGGATCATGTGAAACCAAAGGTTTTCGTGAGACCCGTAAGACCATTCTCAACCCTTAGATTAGATCTACAATCTCAACATTCATAATCACAAAATTGCCACGAGACTTCTCAATAATCACAAAATTGCCACCGTGCAACTTTAGACAATTAGATAATTTAGCTTATAAAGTTGATCAATGAACATAAATTGGTCTCACGAATCTCAAGAAAAACTCTTGGTCTTACGTGAACCCAACCATATATATATATATATATATATATATATATATATATATATAAAAGGCTAAATTATGTTTTTCTTTCTTATAATTTGTTAAAGATTGCATATTTCATATTTGTGGTTTTGAAATTATAGTTTTCGTCTCCATGGTTTATACTCCTTCTGTCCCAAAATAAAATGACACAGTTTTAGAAATGTGTAATTATTACACTTTTTAAAGAACCAAAATGGGAAAGTAGAAACTTACTTTTAAAAGTGGACACTTATTTTAAAACAAACTAAAAAAAAATATAGACGCTTAATTTGAGACATAGAGAGTAATTTCTTACTATTTTTGTTCTTGAACCTAAGGGGCCGTTTACCTAAACACTTACCCGGTAAACACTTACTGGTAAAATTCAACATTATTGATTACTAAACGGGCAAGATTTTATTCACTAAAACGCGTCGTATGCAACAATTTATCCCGGTAAGTGCTAACCATGTTAAGAGTCTTCGTCTTCACTTACTGGGTAAGACTTGAGATTCTTGCATTCGTTCTTACCGGGTAAAATTCTTAGTCCTTGTCATATTCATCTGGTAAAGTAAAGTGACTTGGTAAGTGATTACCCGGGTAAGCGTTTAGTAAACGACACCTAACTCTTTCCTTTTTACATATGAGGGACTAAAATAGCAAATAATTATAAACCACATATATAAAAATAACAATAAAATATATATAATAAAAACGAAAATAACAATAAATTATAAATAATAAAAACTGAAATCAAAGTTCTAAAAGCACAAGGAATATGGATTAATTTTGTGGTATGCTAATTTTCATTTCTAAAGATTAAAGAGGGGGAAATGTACATTCTTTTAAACTTTGCCTTGATTGTGCTTATAGGGGTGTTATCGTACTTTTGACTTGAGATCACATGAGACAAACTTGTTTTCGTGAGATCTATCATTTTACACTTGAAATAACATTCACAGTGTTTTTGCTTTGAAGTTTTAATTTTTTTTACCTTCATAGTATTTTGCTGTGAAATTTCAAATGTAAAAATATGATATGATATGATGTGACTCATTTGATTATCCAACTTTACAATAAAAAGCGGTTTGTATTGATCTCATTTATTTAATTTTGAATGTCTTATTTCTGTTTTTTGTGTCTTATTCAAAAACACGTGTCGTTTTATAAATAGTGGATAATTTGTCTTGAGCATAATTGACTGTGACACATCCATTCAGCTGTCAGTAAATGGAGATTCATCCAACCTCAAAACAATCCTTTCACTGTTTCAGAAATTGCTTCATACTTATTTTTGTCTTTCAGGGTTTTATATATTTTTTTTATTAACTTGAATATCCAACATGTTATGTGAGCCGATTAATTTCAGTACGACCATCTATTTTGCGAGTAGTTTGGAGTCATTTTATTTGAACCTCTGTGGCTATAACGGGATTTTTATTTCTCCTTGGATTTGAACCTGAGACCTCCAAATACTTTTGACATTTGAAGCCTAAACTCAAACCAATCAAACACCACCCAGGAACGGACCCGGATTTTTTTTTCAAACGTTGGCACCATTTTACTATAAGAAACAAATATAGGGAAAAGAAATTCAAATTGTGACACAATTTGACTATAAGAAACAAATGTTGGGAAAAAATTTCAAACTGTGACACCATTTGACTAAGAAATTGACACTAATAGGATTCGAACTCAGGTCTGGGATGGAATAAGAGTCTTGCAAACCAACTCTACCAAAGAAAACTTGTTCATATTGTAGTTTCAAAATACACACGGTGGCACACAACAAATTAATACATTTGCACCTTTCATGAACGTAATTTTTTTTACCATTCGACGGAGAAATAATACAGTAGCACGTGCCACCGTTGGCACCACTACAGGTCTGTCTATGACACCACCCTTGTGGTTATATACTTTCGCATTCAAATTCAATAAAAATACATTTTCAGTAATTTTATCTAAACAAAAAAAAGATAAAAGTATCAACCGTACGGTAAAAGTTCAGCTTTTTTTGAAAATGATTCCCGATATCTTCCTTAAAAAATAAGGTTTCTTTTGTTCTTTTGATCAATTCCTCCTCTCATTTCACCATTTTCAAAAGGTTTTCAACATAATTCAATTTAGGGTTCATGTATATATATATATATATATATATATATATATATTTGACTTTCAAAAGTCAAAATTAAGGAGAGATGTAGAGAGAGAAGAAACCTTGTGAATGGATCCCAGTTGAATGACACCTTCTCCAACAGCAACCAAAGCAATCGTCTGAAAAAATAAGCACAATTTATAAATTAATTAAGATGATGCTTATGAGTGTTGTACATTATGCATGGTGTACTTGTACCTTTATACCAGCCTGAAACTGAGCCTCCCAAGTCCTTGGATGCTGTTATTCAACAAAATTAAGAAATACCCATAAATAATAATCTGTTATCTTTATAATTTTATACCATAATTATTTATGATATTAAATAGACTATACATTATATATATATATATATATATATATATATATATAGACTTGGGATCATGTGAGACCAAGGGTTTTTCGTGAGACCCATAAGACCAATTCTCAACCTTTGGATTAGATCTACGATCTGAACATTCATAATCACAAAATTGTCACTGTGCAATTTTAGACCATTAGATCATTAGCTTATAAAGTTGATAAATGGACATAAATTGGTCTTACGAGTTTCACGAAAAACCATTGGTCTCATGTGAACCCAATCCATATATATATATATATATATATATATGTATGTATAATATTATTTGATCGAAATCAATAATTCCAAGTCGAAGAAAAGTATTATCTTAAAAAGTTTATAATGTACCAAATACTGATCCTAGCCTTTTGCTAATATCAACCGTTGAGCAAGTCAAAAAATGCTTCTTTATATCAGTATTCTTGGAAGCGGGTTTTGTGTGAGATCGGTTAAAGTTATCGGTGATTAATTTTTTGCCCAAATATACCAAGTATTAGTTTAAATTTGTGTCCTATTTATTTGATGAACTCTTACGCATTTACTGAAATTTGATTAAAATTTAAAGCATTTAAGAAAATCTAATTAAAAAATATGCCTTTAATCACACTTAATTTAATGAACTTCATTAAAATCTGTTAACTAAAAACAATTCAGAGAATTTGTGAAGTATATCTTAAAATTTTGATTAACTACAATTATTCATCATTTCTATAAATATCTCAATTAATTGGATTGCATTGTTTGTACAAAATGGATATGGTTACATTTGAAATATACCATATATATATATATATATAAATCAATACTTACTGAGTCAGCTGAGTTATTCCAAGTAGACAAAAAATTAATTTCTTGATCACTTGGCTCCTTAAAAATCCATTTATGACTCTGATCTGCTGCTACTTTCCCAATTAATCTGAAATAACAAGTAATTATATGAATGCATCACACCCAACATATACATATACATATACATATACATATACATATACATATACATATACATATACATATACATATACATATACATATACATATACATATTACTAGTTATTAATGATTAGAATGGAGCTAATTAATTGGTAGAAATATATAAAACAAGAAATTAATAATTAATAGGGATAAAGGGGTAAGATAACAAAAATGCCAAAATTACCCTTCGCCGTAATTGTAAATTTCATGGGACATCTTGAAGAAAAGCTCCGGTTGAAGCCATTGATATTCATGGTTTGCATATCGCCGGCAGTCGGCGTCCGAGTTTGTGTCTGCTGCTGCTGCTGCTGCTGCTGTTGATGCTGCAAAATTACAAAACCCATCCTCCCATGCCAATATCCTATATATATTTATTATTAATTCACTAACTTAATTCAACAAATTAAACACATACATATTCATATACATATACATACATATATACATATACATACACACACACACATATACATACATATATATATATATATATATGTAGAATGAATGTACCAATTTCTTCTGTTGCCTCTTGACCTATCATATGATCCAGCCTGAGTATCCCATCTGTAATTAATTAAGAGAACATATGTATATATATATATATATATAATACTAAGATGAGGGTATTTTTAAAGAAAGTGTTAGTGGATATATATATATATATATATATATATATATATATAAATAATAGAAGAAATACTTGGGAGGAGGGTAATTTCTAGGCAAGATCCTCCAAAAGACAGCATAAACCCATTCTGAGTTATCATGAATGCAAAAGCTTCTTAATGTGTGTTGAAGAAGATGAGTTACTGTTGATTGGCTCACTACTTGCTCCTCCATCTCTCTCTCTCTCTCTCTTCTCTAAAGGAAGGGAAAGCCAACATATATACCCCTTTCTCCCTTTATTATATCTCTCTTACTCACTCACATCTCTATAGGGTTACTTTGAAAGGAAATATCACAAAAAAAAATGAAATTTTGAGAAAAATCATCCTACTCATTCATCTAGATTGTATGTACATGTGCATAAATTCAAGAAACAGCTTCAATTACTTTTATACATATGTACGTACTCTCCAGTTAAATAATTACCTGAGTGTTCTTAATTTTATTTTTTGGTTTTTCTCTAAACCTCCTCTCTCTCTCTATATATATATATATGTAGAGAGAGAGAGAGAGGGATAGTCAAGCTAAGAGTTATCAAGAAAAGGAAACTATAGGAGAAAAAGTTGGAGAAAGGTTGTGTTTGTGTGTATAACTATGATAATATATATATATATATATATATATATATATATATATATATATGGGAGGTTTATTTTACAGACCAAGTAATTTTTACAAACTTTATAAACTAGTCTCAACCATATATGTAGATAATCAATGGTGTGGATTAATTCAGTTCCTAAATTTACTCTCAACTGTATTTTATAATCGTCTCTAAATTTTAAAATGAACAAAATTTATAGTTAAGATTAGGTTTGTAGGGTTTGTAAAAATCACATAATTTGTATTTGAAACTCCTATATATATATATATATATATATATATGTGTGTGTGTGTGTGTAAATATGATATATATATATATATATATATATGTGTGTGTATTGTAAAAATGTCATACACCAACACACTAGATTTGTTACTCTAAAAGCATTTTTCCTTAGATGACGATACGACTCATCTTCTTTTTAAATAAAAAATAATATATATATATATATATATATATATATATATGGATGAGTAATTTCAAAAGGAATCATATCGTTTCTTTGATATGGCATAATTTATTAACAAAAATGATTTTTGTGAGGCCCACGAACACTTTTTCAAGCCTCCCTTGATAAACTCCACCAATCTCCATCACACGTTGAATTAGGGTTTTTCAAGTAATTTAACTTGTTTTTTAGTTTTTATACATACATATATTTATACCGTCCAGATAAAAATAGTTACTAAAATATTCTTTGATTATTCATTTATTTGACTGTTTTTCCTTGAATCTGACTTGTTTACCTGGTTAAATATATGGTTCAATACTTGTTTTTCCAAAAACAAACTTGATAGTAAAAAATTGAATTTAAAACAATTAAATTGACATATTTAACCATTTATTGTTATAATTTTAAAGGTTACTGTAAATATAAATGCTACATTTTTTGGCTTCACTTTCCTAATAGTCCAAATGTATATAAGATATCTATTTTTTGATGACAGTAATATATTAAATAGTCTTTGTCCTAACGGTATGTGAGTTTTTGACCTCTTAAAGGTTCAAATCTTACAAAAAATAAGAAGAGTGTGTGAGTTTATTTGTTTTATTTGTCGTATATAAATATTATATACTTTAAAAGAAATATAATAATATTTTCATAAAATGAGAAATATGTATATTAAAAGGGTGAAATTAGAAAAGTAGAAATGATTTATATATAAAAAAGATGTGAAATGTATGGCATCAACCGACAGCATGTACAACCATCTTTATGGATCCTCAATCCAAACTTATGACTTATCAACATGACCAAACCTTATTCTTCTATACACATCATCACACATACACACACACATATTTTATATATATATATATATATATATATATATATAAGAAAAGAGGTTTACTTGACAGACTATGTTATTTGTATAAATAATATAAAACTCATTCAATCAATCATAATTTTTTATTTTGTTCATTTTTTTTTGCAATTAAGAAAGATTGATTAATCATTTTTATTATGGAGGATGTTAATCATGGATATTATCATCTCCATTATATTAATTTTAGAGAAATACACGAAACAGTTTCATTAAAATTTCATAAATATTATATAAAACAATTTCACAACCATGTATGAAACAATTTCATCAAAAAAATATTATATAAAATAATTTCATAAAATTTAAACAATTTTATAAAATTAAACAATGAAATCAATGGATGAAAATCGTTTACGCGATTTATATAAATATAAATAATTTATATTTGACAACTCTCCCCCTCTCTCTCTCTCTCTCTCTCTCTATATATATATATATATATATTATATATATATAACTCCTCACTCTCACCTAACTTTCTTATATTTTATATATATTTTACCATCCTGACACCCTACTAACCTTCAGTCCCATGAAAAACTTACTCCCCTCACCCCACCTCCTCACTCTTACACACAAATTTTATCACAGAACTTTCACATATATACACATTTATATATGTACATATTAGATAAATTACTTACAATTACCTCCGTATACATGTGTACCCTATACAAATGAATGGTTGTCAAAGTATTTCTCGATTTTTTTGTTGTTGTGATTTTACCTTTGAACCTGGCCTTATATATATATACACACACAAAGACTTGGGATCACGTGAGACCAACCTGTTTTCGTGAAACCACTTTTTAACACTTGAAACTTCACAGCAAAACATTGTGAAGATAACTTTTTCAATGTTTTTGCTGTGAAGGTTCGGGGTTTTTTTTTTATCTTCACAGCGTTTTGCTATGAAGTTTCAGTTTAAAAAGTGTTCTCACGAAAACATACTAGTCTCGCGTAAACCCAACCATATATATATATATATATATATATATATAGACATATGTATGTATGTATGTATGTATGTATGTATGTATGTATGTATGTATGTATGTATGTATGTATGTATGTATGTATGTATGTATGTATNGTATGTATGTATGTATGTATGTATGTATGTATGTATGTATGTATGTATGTATGTATGTATGTATGTATGTATGTATGTATGTATGTATGTATGTGTGTGTGTGTTGTGTGCATTAAAACGCTTAAAAAACGTCCTATAAAACTATTGTAATGTTTGTAGTAGGACGTTTTATTATTCATTTCTAAAAATTTAAGTTCTATAAAATATTCTATTAAAAGTTGTTTAGATAATCAATTTTATTATAGTATTTTCTCGTAACAAATAAAAGTATCGTAAAAACCGCAGTATTTTAAGAATACCTTGATCACGTGATCTGACTTCTGAGTAGCCAAAACCAAGTATTTGGCATACAATTAAAACACTCAAATGTTTTCAATTTTAATTATTAAAATTATTGTTGAAATTCAAATATAATAAATAAAAAAATTGGGAATATTATTGTTGATGAAGAGAAAGTAATTCAGGGATGGTGACGTAAGCTGATCACGAACACCCTATTCCTTGAGTTTTTAACATTTATATTTACTATAAATTTTTATTTTTATTTTTATTTTCAGATTAAAAGTTTTGGATTTTTTAAAGTAATTTCAATTGTGTTTTTTTAATTTTTATTTTGATAATTCTTTTTATCTAATTTAAATCTTGTGTGACGATGAACTGTGGCTCTACAGATTCATTCGGACAAAGTTAAAAATAAAAAATATGAGCTTTGGCTCTACAATTGTTCTATCATGTCCTGTCTTGTCATATCATGTCTGGACACCAAACACAACCATATGTAGGATCAGATCCCAAAAAATAGTAAGGCCCTGTTTGTTTTTACCTAAAAAGCACTTAATACCTTTTTATGTCTGAATCGATCAGACCTTAGGGTATTAAGTGTGTTTGTTTTTTTTTTTCAATTAAGAGCTTAAAAGCTCTGATTATGTCTGAATTATTTAGAGGTAACATTTTCACTTAAAACCTTTTAATTGCTTTTAGAGCTTCCAATGCTTGCAAAGAAAGCCTAGATTTCAATGATTCAGATTTCAGATTTCAGACGTAAAAACAAACAGTCTGACTGATTCAGATTTAAGACTTCAGCATCACCTCTTAAAATTCAGAAGTAAATTCAGACTTCAGACTTAAGCACCTTTTAAGAAACAAACGCCACCTAAGTCTATCGTTTCAAAAGTCTTAACAAGAATATTTCTAGTTTCATAATCCCTGGAGAGAAGGTTCAAGATCACTTGATCCTTAACTTTTCGGGGAAGGGATGAGGTTTCCCTCGCTTTTGGCATAGTGGACCCCCCACTGCATCACCGAAGCACGGGGAATTTTATGATATTTCTAATTGATTGTCTTGTATTTTTAATAAATTTCAGATAAATAGTTAATAAAGTGTTTTTCAATATTTTTATTTTTTTCACAATATAGACAAAAAAGGATATCTCACACAACACCTCCAATGATTCCATCATCATCTTCTCATGCTGAGGTAATTTATTATTACTTTTGTGGTTATATATATATATATATATATATATATATATATATATATATAAAAGTATATTTGTTAACCTAAATTATTGTGTTAAATGAACTAATCATGACTATTGATTTTTAAAATATAGGGTTGAGATTAATCATATTATAAATTTAATTTATTACCTTTATAATCTCACAAACATATGTGAACATAGTAGCTCAAGGGTATTTATATAAAAGAGGATGTGCAATCAATATCATCGGTTACAAACAGTAGAAATTGTATATGTTTAATTGTGTTCATAATTATCACAAGTGTTCATATATGTCAATTTGTGTTCATAATTACGAAGACACTCCTTTTGATTATTTATTTCACTTCCCGATCTCGAACTCCGACTGTCACCATAAACAATTTTAATCTTCTCAATCTTGTCGTATTGTTTTCCAATGTCTTTATTCATAATTGCTTGAACGATAACAAACACTTTACTAACAAATCTCCTCCATCAATCACAAATTTATAAATATTAAAATAGAAGATCAATATCAAAAAATTAAAAAAAAAAAACCACAAGATCAATCTTAAAAATGCAAAAATCATGAGATTTTATAGATCTTGTAACTCTCAATTAATGATATAGAAATTACAAAAAGAATTACTCGTATACCCTTAACATTA